AGCCAAGAAGTATTGCCGCAACGCTCGAGAAACCAGCTGGCAGTCCTTTGCGTCAAGATGAGGGTATTTCCTCTTGAGCCCTTCGAAAATCCCCTTTGGATATCTATAGGACCGAATGAACTCGGCCCGTACGGCTTGGATCCACTTGCTCCAGAGAAAGACCAGCACGAAAATGAGCAGTGCTGTTGTGAGAATTCCAGCCATATTCCTCTCGGGTTCTAGCGTGAAGCTAAAGGGCGCGGCGCGGCTTTATCGCGCAGCGTCCGGTGGATTGATGGGTTAGAGACCTCAGATCCACCTGCGAACTCTGTGCATATAGGCGGTGAAGTCTTGGCCAAACGCCTCTAATAGAGCCTTTTCTTCGGGCAAGATTTGAAAGCGATTCATGTAAGCGACGAACACCGGGATGACAACGAGCGAGAGTGTGTTTTCGAGCAGAAAGGACATGGCAACCAAGACTAGAAGAAAGCCCAAGTACATGGGGTTTCGACTAACGCCATAGATGCCTTGGCTGACCAAAGCCGATGTTGCTTGGGGCTTGGTTGGATTGACTGTTGTTCGAGCTTGCTTCAATGCAAAGACTCCAAGCGCTGCAACCATGCCGCCGGCCAAGGTGAAGATGAGCGCTAACAACTTACCGTGAAATGGCGGCCAGGCGAACGAAGGCGCCACGATAGAGATAAGCCACATGGCCCCACAAGCTAGCAGCGCAAGGACTGGCGGAGGAATTTTCAGCTCAAGCATGTTCATGTTGGGGTTTCAGCGCGTGAGGGCTAACGTCAAAGTTGAGGGGCAACGATGCGAAGCTTTGTTGTCCCACTCGAACTTACGGTTATGCCCTGGTGCCATATGCAAAAACCAAAGCATGACTCATTCATAGTGCGACCACATGCGCAGTACCTTGACGATTCGCTGCTCTTGCAGCACTTCGTAAACGAGGCGATGCTGAATATTGATTCGCCGAGAATAGGCGCCAGATAGATCTCCGACCAGTTTCTCGTATGGTGGCGGATTTTGAAAGGGGTTTTCTTTGATGATGGCTAGGAGCTCTTGAGCCTTTGCCTTCAGGCCACTTGCTGCGAGTTTCTGAGCATCCTTTTGCGCGTACTTGGCGTAAATAACTTCCCAACTCACCAGTCAAGCTCCTTGGTGCAGGCGTCGATGGGTTCAGCCATTCCCTCTTTGATGGACTCGCGCATGCCAGAAACCGAGAGCAAGTAGAGCGTTTCTTGAATTGCTTGCCAGTCCTCTGCTGCCAGGAGCACTGCGTCATGGCGCTTGCCTGCGATTGTGATTGGCTGATGCGACTCGGCTGTCTGGTCCATCAGGCGATAGAGGTTGGCGCGTGCTTCGCTGGCAGAGAGTGTTTGCATAATGAACTCCTAAGTCGCAAAGCGTACGTTAATTGGTACGATTTGTCAAGTGCCTAGCTTTTCTGTTCACTGGCTCGGCCACGCACTCACGTAAAAAGGCCCAACGTAGAAGTGACCGGCGCTGCGCGGCTTTATCGCGCAGCGTCCAGTGACCGAAGGGAACGGGGTCGACTGCCGGGTTAGCCCTCATCAGCTTGCTTTGTTGTGGATAGATGCTTTGGGTCAAGTGAATTGCCTTTCAAACCGGGTTCGATAGTGCTGTCGCTGACCAATGTTCGTGTACGGACCATCCCACATTGATTCGCCGCGGCTCCCGACAAGAGACCTTCGAGTGAGCTTGGAGAATACCTCTTGCGTAACTCGAAGCGGATATTCAGGGTCGAGGCCATCAAAGCTATTCAGTTTTGCTGCATAGTTGGCCGCAGCACCAACCCACACCAAGTCGCTGTCTATTCGAACGCCAGTTTTTGAAACGAGGACAGTGCCTGCATCAACTCCTACTGTGTGCTGAAGCACTCGATGATGGATGCCGTAGATAGAGGTGAATTGCGGATTAACGATCTTGTTCACCGCAAAATTGATTTCGAGTGCGGCACCTACCGCAGCGTCTTCTTTTTCATTTCCGAGAAACACAGCCATTACTCGATCCCCGTCGTAGGCAGTGATATCTCCACCATTTCGTTTAACGATTTTCGCCGCGCAGTGCAGGAACGCTTTGTAGTACTCAGCTGCCAATGTATCG